GAAAACGTATTCTGCACTTGCGCACATGCATATGCGCAGTCGTAAAGGTCTTACTCGCACGCGTAAACGCCTATGCGCATGTGTCAACGCGGCGGATACGCAGAAAGTTTTTAGCTTTGAGGTCCGGATTATGGGTGTCCGAATTAACGACTTTTGACTGTACTAGTTATTATACATTTTACAGCGATCATTTTTACAGATCATACATGAATGATATACTCAATATTTTTATAACATGGATTAATATCATATTACAATCAAACCTACACAAAGTATGTCAACATTCCAAAAGGGAAAATTTTAATCAAAAGGAAGTTTATTACATTTTAATACTCTACTAGTTCCATCTTTCAAAGGTTTAACATGAAAAACACTTTTTTTTTTTAGAATTTTGACAATTTTAATAATTTTCACTGAAACTGTAATTGAAGGTGCTTTAGCAATTAATGCTATAGATAAGACATTTTTCTAATGGCTATCTCCTAGGTGTTTTGTTAACTTTTAGTAATTGAAAGGTTACAGTGGGAATGCTTATTTAAAATTCATTCTCAACCCGGTCCCGATAACAGAAAAATACTTAGAAATTAAATGTCATATCACATGTAAGACATAAGGGAGGAATGATACTTTATACAGTTATAGCATATTAAACAGAAAAATCATAAATAACTGATTGGGGAATATATTTAAGGGTTCCCCTTGGCAAAAATTATTCCGTTTACATGCAACGCCCTTCTAAATAAAATGGTATCCAAAGCATAATGCAATAAAGCATAACAAAATTATAATAAACTGCATTTTAAATCAAAATATAGCAAGGAAATAACATATAAATGGAAATACATGTTATCTACCCTGCACAGTACAAAAAGGAAATACCGATTTACCTTATTTAGAAATGTCAGTGTCTTTGGTGAGTGGCACACAGAATTCCTTAACAGCATCCAAAAACTGTTTAAGTTATCTGAACTAGAATCTGTATACTGCTGTCAACACATAAATTCACAAAAGTAAGAATAAAAAATATTCTCCATAGTACTGGACTGTCGGTGGCATTTCTTTTGAAAATCCCTTCTTAACTCCACATACCTTTGATAGTGTCGATGGTGTAAAGCACAAAATAAGCAACATACTCTTTAACTGACATCCAACACAGAAATAAGCACTGAGAAATATTCAAAAATCAATATCAGCATGATTCTGTATTACAACCAATCACATCTGATAGGGTTTCTAAAACATACACCATGAAATACTCAGGTTATCATAAATGAAACAACTTGCCGATAATCAAAGGGGTACCCCAAAGTACAGACTACCCAACTTATATATTTGAAAACAGCCACCGAAATCTGGATGCTACGTACTGTTACAAATTTATAGGACTAAATTGCTGTACAGTTTTTATATAGTTAATTACTGCTATTATTTAGCAAACAAACAAACAAAAAAACAATTGACTATTTTTGGAACATGAGTAAATGAAACATGCATAAAAAAACAATGAGATGAAATTATCCATTTTATATATAGAGAGAGAGAGAAAGAATCAATGAAATAGTTTATATATTACATTTAGTTTGACAAAACTGTCAATTATTTTTCAACAAACACATGAATAAGTGATTTAGTAAGTGCCTAATTATAAAAGAATTTTACATATTATTGGATATATTAAGAGAGTTGTCAGAACCCATATAAAAAAATCTCGCCTTTTTCAATAATTATAAAACCCTTTCACTAATGAAGGATTCGGTACTATTTGGTTTTGAGGGCCGTAAAAAATCGCCAAACAATTGTTGATGCCAATGCTGCCAAAAATAATTACAGCAACCCTAACGCAAGAAAGGAAGTATAATAGTAAATAACTATTTAAGATTGATGTTTTAATTTAGATGAAAAGTTAATTTCATATACAGTCAAAAGTCGTTAATTCGGACACCCATAATCCGGCCCTCAAAGCTACAAACTTTCTGCGCATGCGTTGCGTTACGTGTGCGCGTAAGTGTTATGTATAGGCATTTACATGTGCGCATAAGACCTTTACGGCTGCGAATATGCGTGTGTGCATAAAACGTTTACACATGCGTGCTTAATGTATAACGGACGGTATAAGCTAAGCTAAAATTATCTAAATCAGTTAATGTTGCAGATTGCGTAGTTCCTTAATCTTCTAATTGGATCTGGCTTATTATTTTTTGCAGACTGTTAGAGCAATTTTATAAAAGTAAGCTTGAACTTTCGATTATATCAAATAGAATTTCCGATATATATTTGCTAAAATGTAAAGGATCTAAAGCGAAAGTATGTTTCGAAATCCGAAATCTGTTTATCAACTTCACGCTGCTCGGCGGGGGAACGCCACAGCGCGCAAAGAATTGGAAGTTGATCTGTCAGCACTATCCTATCTTCAGGGCAGATGTTTTTATTTTATTGGCTTATAATTCCTTACTAAATGTATTTCATCATGCTCTTGATATGAAAAAGTTCCTCATCATTTGGTTGATCTTTAGAATGGTAACTTGGCGATTTTTTGGCGACCAACTCTCCTACAGCAACCCTCTATTTTTTTTTTTTTTCCCCGCCGCCATTTTGTCTTCACGAAGTAAAGACATGTTTCTTTTCTTTTTATCTACTGAACACTTCTTCCAACAATCTACTAGCCGAATTACACTTATGCTAGAAATTTTATCTAACAAAACTGCTTAATCATGACAAATATTCACTGCAAAATTGGAAAAAGTGCACAATACCATACTCCTTACGCGTTTTTCAAAATAACACATACACATAAACCATGTACACGCCGACTTATTTTTACTTAAAAAAACATCCCAGAATTGCACAAAAATGGCATTGCGCACACTCTTCACTATATCCATGTACACTGCTTTTTTTTCTCATAAATTAGAAAAATTTCACGAAAATACATGACAATTTTCTCAATCTTTAAACCCGGTAAAAAGAACATATATGAAATTACCTGATCGCGAAAAAGTATATACCCTTTCCAAATATGAACATTTCCACATATAAAATAAATAAAATATCCAAAAACTTTTACCTCTAAATCATCTATTATATTATTCACGTCACCAACGAATTCATACCGCAAGCATTACAAATACTTAGTATCAAATATTTAAATTATTTCCATGCACGTTTACTTCAACTTAAACGTATACCAAATTCCTACAAACATAAAATTCACAAAATAACTATCATTTAATTAAAATATCACTAAACCATGTACACGTCGACTTATTTTTACTTAAAAAAAATCCCAGAATTGCACAAAAATGGCATTGCGCACACTCTTCACTATATCCATGTACACTGCTTTTTTCTCATAAATTAGAAAAATTTCACGAAAATACATGACAATTTTCTGAATCTTTAAACCCGGTAAAAAGAACATATATGAAATTACCTGATCGCGAAAAAGTATATTACCCTTTCAAATATGAACATTTCCACGTATAAAATAAATAAAATATCCAAAAACTTTTACCTCTAAATCATCTATTATATTATAACGTCACCAACGAATTCATACCGCAACCATTACAAATACTTAGTGTCAAATATTTAAATTATTTCCATGCACGTTTACTTCAACTAAAACGTATACCAAATTCCTACAAACATAAAATTCACAAAATAACTATCATTTAATTAAAATATAATTAAATTCAAAAACACTACTTAAAATATAAATGAGCACATACATTAAATTAATAAAAATTAGCCTTACAATCCTAATTACTTTAAACTAAATCATTGCTAATAACAATTTTCCCAATAATACCAAATTCTTACTTCACCTTACATTTAGAACAATGCATAAAAATAATATCCTCAAATAATTAAAAATACTAACTTACCTAATCTTCTTCAGAATCTTGATTACGTGTCCGATAAACTTTTCTTATTTTTCTCGCTAAATAAAAAGCAAGCGTATCCTGTTTCAGGTTCTTTAAAATCATACTTATAGTTTCACAGCAAGATACCAGGTAAAATAAATAACTTAATAAAACATCTTTACTTCTATCTCGCACACAACCTTAAAAAAAACACTTATTTACTACCCCTTTTCAATCCCACTAAATACCCATTTCGAATTCACTTTACGTTAGGGCCATGGGATCCAAAAATTCAACAACACTGTTTCACACAACACAGAATAAAGCCAAATACAAAATTTCCAGATTTTTTTCCCGATTAAAAGAACCGTAATTCGTCCATTAATATCACATGACATATCCCATGATCTCTCATTTCCCTCACACAAAATAATGCGTAATCGGAACTGAGTACTGCTCACATTATTACCAAAGTCCCAGGTAGTAACCTTTATCGCCTCCAAAATGTCGCAAACTACCGTTACCATATTACAGATCAGCCAATTTGCTTTCGATGAAAAATAGAGGTTATTGAAAACAAAAAATTTCGATTGACAAATTAGTCGGTATTCTCAACACAGCAATTATAGGACTTGAACAGCGGAACTTTGTAACTAAACAAGAAATTATGTCTGTTTAATAGAATTAAAGAGAAAGTATTATCACATGAAACGAAAGCAACTTAAACAACTTACAATGAAAGAAATGTTTAATAAAGTAAACAAATAAATATTAAGCTTATTCTTTTTGTAAATTTTGATACCCTTTAGATCATAATTGTTCTTTATTTCATAAATTACGGTTTCATATTTTTAATTTTGTAATTTCTGCATGCCATCTTACCAGATTTAAACTGATGATCTATAATCCGGAATCACCGAAGTCCCGACGAGTCCGGATTAACGACTTTTGACTGTATATTGATAAATAACACATTTTAATTAGAGTATACTTTAAATTTGTTCATCTACAGGTCTTTCAATAACCATTCAAAATATCACCTACCAAATGCAGTAAAATAAAAAAAGCACATACTATGTTTTAACATGCTATGCAAGCCTTAGTTTTAACTACTGAACTTAATTGAAAGAAAAAAAGCAAATTTTTAGAAAATATTTATTCATTTTATTTCATACAAGGGCTGCACTAGATATATCAGTCAACTCATTAAATAGCATTTTGAACCCATTAATAAACACAAAATATTACAAAAGAGTAAAAAGCTTTTAGTCAAATTGCTTACACAAATAAACAGAGACATTACATGAAATTTCAAAATATTTTTTGCAAAGCTTATGATGTCAGGAGATTTTTTGCAAAAATAGAACATGATCTAGAAGCAGCTGAATTTAGTTTGAACCAAATACCTCTTCTTGTGTTGGCAAAGGAATTATTTTAGGTCCAATCCTCGTCCAAACGAAGCCACTCTCAGGCTTTGATGGTATAACAGGATATGGAGAATGTTTGGCTTGATAATATTCGGATGGAGCATGGCAAACAAATTCAAAGCATTCAAGTTTTCTGGGTATATCTTCTTCTGGACCAATGATGAATGTTGCGGGATCAAAATGATCTTTCGGGCTAGACTGGGTTGGAAGAAGCCAAGTAATTACAGCACTTTTTTCACAGTACTGATCTTGAAGTAAACCACGAATCTGAGCATAATACACACCCCCTTTAACATCTACAACAGACACAATGTCACCTACTTGAAAGTAACTGCCTTTATAAAACAAGGTTTGTGATGTGACAGGCGTCGCGACGGAGGTCGGAGCTTTCGTACAGCTTTTCTTGAATATCGCTCTACGACTTTTACCCTTAGGATTACTACTTTTTGATAATATTTGTTGCTTAAATTTTGAGCTCTTGGCTCGGGTACTCTTCCGCAAAGTAAATGGACAGCCATTACCGTTGTTCTTGCTGCTGTTTATGGTGGACGTCCTCACAGAACAAGTATTACACAAAATTTCATCTTCATCATTTTTCCGCCACATAGAGGAAGATGTCGATTTGCACATACTGCATTTTTTTCAAACCAAACGGCATCTTTAACATTCAATATCAAATCTGAACAATGTATGTAAACAAATACAATACCGCGAAGAAATAATAATGGAATTCGTTGTTGACAGGTTATCTTCACGAGAAAAAAGGGACAAAAAATGGGAGGAGTTACGAGATTCTCTGGGTTGCATGAAGATCTACTAATAACTTTCTCGCCAAGTAATTTGGCGTCATTGGCTCATTCTTATTTCTGGAACTGTGGTTGAAGAGTGGTATGTTTTTGATCCGTAAGTATGCTAAAATTCTATCCATAAATTTTTAATACCTTGTTTTCCAAATTTACACATTTTGCTTGATTAATTTGAAGTTGTTTGTTTTTAGATGTGCGCAATGGCAAATTTCAGGTTATTCGTCAAATAACCAAGGTTTCTATTTCTCTGGTAAGTGTTTGCTTTATATCTTATATTTATTATTAAATATGAAAAGTAATTTTTGCATGCGTATATTTTTTCATGCTCATTTTCTGTTTTATGTGCTGGTAGATTTCTGGCCGATTACCGTGTTTTTAGATAAATGCGCCATTTTCATTTAGGTCGTGTAGAGATTACTGTTTCCATTTTTTTTAAGTAACCACGAAAATTCTAACACATGTAAAAGCTTTACTAGTAAACTTTTGATTGAGGATATTTCAAGTAAATGTGCCATTTTTACTGAATTTGTGTAGAAGTTGCTCTTCGTTATGCCTTTTTTGAGCCAATATGTTAATTAGTTGTATTATTTTAATGTGTTGTTTTGCAGATTAATGCAGTTTATTTGACAGATGTGTAATGCTGTTTGTTGAAAAATGCATTAGAACCAATGATGGTAAGATCTTGGCCTAGCAAATTGGTAAAATATTACCTGCTCTTAATTACTGAATCATATTGTAGGATAAAATCTGCTGTTTATGTATGAAAATTTGTACTTTATCTCTGATTATGTGGTATATGCCCAGAATTTCATTATTAATGATCGATTCATTAAAATTATTTTTAATTGTCTACTTTGTTTTGTGTTGCTGCTGCTCATTCTGCATTTTTTTTTTTTTTTGGGGGGGGGAGTAGATATAAAAATTAATTCTTGTTTTTTCTTTTTTTTCCCTCCATGTCTCTTTTTATTGTGCTAGTAAATTTCTGACTGAACTCATTTCAAGTTGAATGTGGTATTTTCTTTAGCTCATGTAGAGATTCATCAAGTTTTTGCTGGTGGTAAATTTTTGAGAAAATTTCAAGTAAATGTGCCGTTTTTACTTAGTTTGCATAAAAATTGTTCTTCTTTATGCCTCTTTTGAATAAATATGTCAATTCTTGTTTGTATTATTTAATATCTTGTTTTGCATATTAACACAGTTTATTTAACAGATTGAGATGCGATTTGTTGAGAATATTCATTAAAACTAATGCGGGTAAGTTCTTGGCCTAACAGATTGGTAAAAGATTTTCTGATCTTAATTACTGAATTTTTTATTATATTCTAGGATAAAAGTCTGCTTTTTACGTGTGAAAATTTTTATTTTATCTGATTATGTGCCAAATTTAATGATTCAAGAAAAATGCCATTTCTGTGTGTAGCTAGTTCGTTGTTGCTGTTCGTCATGCAGTTCTTTTGAATATGTATCAGTTTGAAAATTTATTCATTACATGTGTATTTTTCTCATCCATTTTTGCTGTGCACTTTTCCTGTGAATATTATTTTTATTTAGTCTATATAGAAGTTGCTCTTTGTACCTTTTTTTGAATAAGTATGATAATTAGTTCTTGTTTGTGCTATTTTAATGCCCAACAATTCACTTTCGAATGTTTGTTAATTATAGAAGCTAATTTTACTTTTTGCTTGCAGTTTTTAACTCTGTACCTTTTATCCAGACATAAATAACATCTGCCTTTTCATTTCTAAACTTAAAATATCGCAGTCGGGGAAAGGTTTCAATTTGAGAGGTAGTGGCTTTTCTAATTGCAAGAATTTCTCTTCAGAATTATAATTAACATAAGCTGTGCATTCTCTGCTGAGTATTTCATTTCTCGAAAAGTCTAGTAGACCTTTTAAATCGCAATTTTAATCTTTAATTTTTTGGATATAATTAAGAACGAATTCATTTGGAAGCAATTTAAAAAATAAAGGCATTAAAATATTTCTGTATAAGTCAGTATATTTTTAATGTTGCCGTGCAGCGTAAAAGCATCTCTACTTTCTCCCAGAAGTCTTGCTATTTTTCAGATTTCAAGGTTGACTTCTGTGCCTTGTTTTGCAGGTTAACATGCTTTATTTGATTGCATAGAAGTTAACTTTTCGTAAAAAGGCCTTAATTATAGTATCATTATTGGTAAATTCAAGGCTTAAACAGATTGGTGAAATGTTTGACCTTAACTACTGAATTCTGCTAATTATATGGGATATGCCCATAATTTTAATTTTCTCCTAGTAAATTGATCAGTTGGAACAAAATGTGAAATGAATTTATTAAAGAGTATGTTTATTGCTGTATTCATAAATTTCCAGCCATGCATATCATTTAATAATTATTTGTTTTTAGGATAAAAAAAAAAAGTAGTAGCAGATGGTCCTACCAATTTGAATAAATATGGAATTTAGTTTTTAATAGTTTTACTTATTTCATGTAATTTATGATATTAAAGTATAAAGGCTATGCTCGTGGATTTTCTAGTAAAGGCAAGTTTCCAATCAATAGCAGTTTTTAGTATGGTGGTGAGCTATTTATCCAGCATTTTTTTAGTATGAAGACTAATCATACTAAAAAAATTTGAGCATTTTTTTCAAGTAAAAATTAGTATGTTATAGCTGTGCCAGTATCATTCTGCATAATGACAAAAGTTCATTAAATATTTTAGTGACATTTAAGTGTTGGTTTTGATTATCATGCAATACTGAAACTAAATTCAGAATTTCATTATTGACAAAAAAAAATTTTTTTTTTTAAATTCTGGGTATGAATGTCTGAGCATGTGTGTAAATTTTAAGTCATAAGAAACGAAATTAATTTGGATTTTTCTTTCATTTGATTAAATTCGTTAAACTTGCTGTTATCTGTGAAAAATTTTCCTATTGAACTTTACCTTTCGTTTTAGTGGCACAGGTGATAATAGATTTTTAACCCCCCAAAAATGAAAATTTCCAAGTGTGGCTATAGAGAGTATGCTCAAGTTCATAAAATAACTTAGTTTTTCTTTATCATCACCTTTCTGTTCGAGAAGCTTTTCTGCAGCATACAGTGACCACCCCTTTTCTATTATAAGAATACAGTCAGAAGTCTTTAATCTGGACGTCCATAATCCGGAATGATCTATAATCTGGACCTCAAAGCTACAAACTTTCTGCGCATTCTCGTTTAATGTATAACGGACGGTATAAGCTAAGCTAAAATTATCTAATTCAGTTAATGTTGCAGATTGCGTTGTTCCTTAATCTTTTAATTGGATCCGGCTTATTATTTTTTGCGGACTGTTAGAGCAATTTTATAAAAGTAAGCTTGAACTTTAGTTTATGTCAAAAAGAATTTCCGATTCTGGAGCTGCCAAAGGATCTACAAAGCGAAAGCATGTTTTGATGTCCATCAAACAAAAAGTGGAATTGCTGCAAAAAATGTATAAAGGCATATCCTTTGTTTCTCTAACCATTCTGAAATCTGTTTATCAATTTTACACTGCTCTGCGGGGGGAGGAACATCACGGCGCGCACAATGAACTGGAAGTTGATCTGTCAGCACTATCCTTATATTCAGGGCAGATGTTTTTATTTTATTCGGCTTATAATTCCTTACTAAATGTAGTATTTCATCTCAATGTACTCCGTTTTTGATATGATTTAAATCAAATTTCTCGTCATTATATTACGGATACACATCAAATAGTTTTCTGATTGCAATTTTCTAATTTCGACTATGCGTAATGTATTCTTTACGCATGCATGCGTTGAAAGAAATGTTTAATAAAGTAAACAAATAAATATTAAGTTTTTTTGTATATTTTGATACCCTTTAGATCATAATTGCTCTTTATTTCATAAATTAAGTTTTCATATTTTTAATTTTATGTTTTCTGCATGCCATCTTACCAGATTTAAATTGATGATCTGTAATCCGGAAGTCCCAACGAGTCCGGATTAATTAAAGACTTTTGAGTGTAGTAATTTTAGAAATTTATCTGAATGTCTCCTGTGGACTTTCATTTAATAGATAACTAAAGCCAGTATGGAAATTAGGACATTTTGATATTGAAGAATAATTCATTGCTGCCTACTCTCCTTTTTTTAAATTTTTAGTCTTAACAAAGGAAAATGTTTCTCAGAAATAAATGGAATGTATTTAATTAAACTTAAATTAGGCAAATTCCATTCCCTCAATCTCTAATGATTTTCAGAATTTTTAAATTCTATTTCATTTGAATTGTACTTTTTCTTGTTACATTTTTATTAAATTTCATTTGGTCAGAGTTGTCTTAATCTGTAGTCATTTCTAAATTTTTATATGAAGATTTAAAAAATGGAATTAGCCAAAGAATATAAGAATTAAATGTTAATATATTTTACAACAGAATTGAATTTCAAATAGTTCAATAATCTAGTCCATGTAAATTTGAACTGAATTTTAATTTGATTTTTCTATTAATTCATTACATTTATTTAGGCGCCTAGAATGTGAACATGGTAAATAAAATGGCAAGTACCCATTCCTCAGTATATTTTGGTGGGAAAAAACTTCTGAAATTTATGTTCAGTTTGTAGTAATATTATTCAGTTAACTTCATATTTGTTTAGGAATTTCACAGGGTGGGTGATCTTCTGTGCAAGATACTGAGAAAATTTTGATATTCTTTATGCTAAGAATAGTTTCAAGAATTAATAAATTTCAGTTTTTTATATGATAGACTGATTATTCAAAGTAATATACACCAAGGTCACCTTGGATGATCAAGAGCTTGTATCATACGTGCATATTAACTGTTATGGGATAGCTATGGACTTCAGTCCTTCAAATTGTTTTAATAATATTCACACTATTC